AGTCAAATGAAGCAGTGGGAGTGGAAAAGGAACAAAGAAATCTGTAACTGCTTTTGATCAATTAGTTGTAAACACCACTGCACTCGGACCAGCATCATTTTCTTAAAAAAACATTCAAGGATTTGTCATGATGGGTGGGCTTTCATTGGGTGTTAATTCTACAAACAGCACCTTCAATTTAAACTGTCAATTAAAGTTGTTAAGCTTTAGGAAGTGGTGGAGCTTGGAAAGTTATAAGATTACAGATTTCCTAAAAGTCTGTTAGAAAAACCACAGGATGGAAAAACAACAATAAGCCAGTCCACAAAGAAGGCTTCAGAAGTCCCTGCTGGCCCAGGGAAAGATACCTGTAGTGTCCAATATTGCCGTGAAAATGATCTGCTTTCAAAGGCAGAGAGTTTAATGGGAGGGTGGGGTGAGACTGGTAGAGACAGTGGCTCTTCCCATCTCCACCTCGGTTTTAGGTAGGGTTTTTAATTTATCCCAAGGACGTCTCTCAACTTGGAGAATAATTCAGCCCTCAACAGCGCCTCAAATCTGCTGTGGCTTTGCAAATCACCAGCAAGAGTGTTTAATGTGTAATAGATAAAAATTCATCCAGCCGGGCATGGTGGCTCATGCCTGCAATCCAAGCACTTTGGAGGCCAAGGTGGGCGGATCACCTGAGGTCGGGAGTTCAAGACCAGCCTGACCAACATGGTGAAACCCTGTCTTAAAATTTAAAAAAAAAAATTCATCGAAAAAAATTAAAATATTCTTGAAACTCCCCCAACACCGGTTCCTAAAGTTAACCTACCACTTGTGCTATCAATATTTGACCATGTACTTAATTAGAAACCTAGATGCAAAAGACTGAAACAGAATCGTCACCACAAAATGAAAATTAATAACTTACAGTTTATGGCATATAGTTTAGGTAAACACACATGAGGAGGAAGGGGAAGAAGAAATGGAGGTGTCGGAAGCAAAGCTGAGTGACAGAACACATTCAGTCAAGGCAGATGTCTATACAGAGTGTAGCGGAACTTTAGGAAAAGCTCCATATGGATTCATTTGCACATGTCTGGAGGCACCAGATCCCTCCATGGCAGTTCCAAAAACAGGGAGCTAAGGGAGGAGGCCATTCCTGTCCTTCCAGTTTTAGAAGCTCCACATCAAAGACAAGAGTGGCATGTGGTGGGATGATGCCTGGGTGTCCAGTGGCACCGTACGCATAATCTAGAGACATAGTTTGGCTTTCTGACCCACACTCATCTGGGCAACCGCTCCTTCCGAGCCTCGGATCACCTCCTGCTTGCCTAACATAAACTTAAAGGCTTGTTTCTGTCCCAGAAGGAATCAAATTTATTTCCATCTTCAAGGATCCCAGTGTAATGCACCATGCACATCTGGCCATGCTTCGGGAAGGTGCGCCAGTCTCCTGGAGAGATGCTTTCCCACCAGCGGAGGCAGCACACGCTGGGTGGGCGGGCAGTGCAGAGGGCGGCAGGGACCTGCAGCGACCTGGCGGTGGTTCCACAGCTCTGCCTAGTCCCTCGGCCTTTTTCATTTTTTCTTTTGAGACAGAGCCTCACTCTCTTGCCCAGGCTGCAGTGCAATGGTGCGGCTAACTGCTACCTCTGCCTCCCAGGTTCAAGTGATTCTCCTGCCTCAGCCTCCCCAGTAGCCGGAATTATAGATGTGTGCTGCCATGCCTGGCTAATATATATATATATATATATATATATATATATTTTTTTTTTAATGGAGACTAGGTTTCACCATGTTGGCCAGATCTCAAACTCCTCGCCTCAGCTGCCTCAGCCTCCCAAAGTGCTAGGATTATAGGTGTGAGCCACTTCACCTGGCCTATATAGGCATTCTTTTTTTTGTTTGTTTTTTGTTTTTTTTGTTAAGATGGGGTTTCACCATATTGGTCAGGCTGGTCTCGAACTCCTGACCTCAGGTGATCCGCCCACCTCAGCCTCCCAAAGTGCTGGGATTACAGGCGTGAGCCACCGCGCCCGG